ATAGTCCAGCAGGAATACCCTAGCTACAATGTTGAAAATAGATAATGCAATAGAAAATAAAATTTAAAGTTCAACAGAAAGTTTTAAGCTATCCAATAATATTTATAAGTCTCTCTCTCTCTCTCTCTCTCTCTCACACACACACACACACACACACACACACACACACTCTCTCTCTCCAGCTCAAGTAACATATTTTAATTACCTAAAATCAATAAACACAAATCATACATGAACAGTGAATAATCTAGACACATGACGGATGACTATACTAAATTTGCTCTGTTGGAATTAAAAAAAGGTTGCTACATATCCTTAACATATAACAGAAAGAGAAAAATTATTGGTGTTGGCACAATGAATTATGGCCACTCTGTCATCTAATAAATTATTGCACAAACTAATCAACATCAACCAAATTTGTGATAGACGTCGATTTTTATAACTTAGCAACACATATTGATGTTAACAATTTCTCATATTTCAAATTGCAACACCTTATCCTAATATAATTATTTATTTTATTTGCCTTCTTTATACTCTTAAAATATATATTCATAACACTTTAATGTTGTATTGTAAAACTCACTCCTAAATCACTTTAGAATTTTTACAAGATGATTCTCATCTATTTCAATATCATAAGCTTTGTTAGTAAAGTTCACAAATTCTACCGGTATAATATGTATGCATCTGTAACATTCAAAATTTTTTTTGTTTTGTATCTTATCAAATATAAGATTTGAAAACTCTTATCATATAATAATAGTATTTATGAAAATTATTCTTTATAAGCCTCTTATTCAAAAACAAATTATTAAAAAAACAGTTTCCATTAAATATAATCGATTTTGATTTTGAATTCTAGAATAAAATCCATATAATAAATAACACATCAATATACATTCAATACCCTTCCCATAATTTACTAACTCATCATAAATCAAACATATCTTGTCCCACTTGATTTCTATCTAGCATTTTATATCTACCGTAAAGCCTCTCACAGAACATCTTACTATAACCTATATTCTTTAAATAACCAAAAATAAATATCATTTCTTTTGTCAATATATGTTGTAGTAGTTTATCTATCTATTTTCAAAATTAATATTTTAATCCATCTTCTAATCCAATTTGAAGTGCCTACTAGTATAAATCCAATATAATATATATTTTAACTATGAAAACATGGCTTGGTTTTCACTCAAAATAAAAATCCAACCATTTTGAAAAGAACCTTGAACCCTTCATTTTAAAAGGATAATATGCTAAATTTAATAGATATACATATATTCAATACTACAATAGTCATCATTTATTACTGAATACACTAACATTCTAGCCAAAAACATGAGAATTTTATGAATATTGACTTTTGAATTTCAAGGGAGACATAAAAGAAATTACTGGTCATGCTTTTAAGATTCAATAATAAAATGAATGATTTTCACACTTTCATATTTCAAAATTTTACAAATAAGACCGCAAAGCATGTTTTGTATGAAGAAAACCCAAAACTTGTACTGAATAAAAAAATTTGCTCCTGCTTATGAATTTTATTATTAATAATAAAATCCTTTCTTCGCTTCAAGCTAGTTGTTTTATTAAAATACAGCAAATCATAGCATCATGATGAAAAGAAATGTCATGTTAAGCTAAAAACATTGAATGAATTCTATGCATTTAGACCACATTATTAGCATTAGTATTAGCATTATTTTAGGGAAATGAATCCATATTTTTACAATTTTTTTTATTCTTTATAAAATTGTTTATAAAATCATTTTTAATTTTTTTAATATATTAATAACGTACACACTTCTAAAAAAACCACAATCAACCTCTACTATTTATCATTTAATATTTACTTAAATATCATTTAGAAGTATACAACCATCAATAATGGTTACTTTCATGTAATAATTTAAGTAAATGTAATGTTTAAATATGCAAAATAGGAATAACTTAAAACGAATTTAATGGTTTAAGAAATAAATAAAATGACCCCAAGTTGAAGCTTTATGTCTTATTAGCTTTATTCCAACTATTTCAGTTCAGCTTTTTGAATCCTTATTTTTCACTCCATCCCATTCAATACGATCTATGAGTTAAAACTTTTCTTCACAATTTATTCTGAATAATTTCAATCCATCTTACAGTAGGTCTAGCATTTATCTTTCCAGGTCCTATAATACTAATTTTAACTACAAGTCTAATTAGTATATCCCTAACATCTTTGCAGGCATCCAAAGCACCAAAATAAATTTTCATATAATTTATTTTCGTTAAATATTACTTTATGCGTTTGTCTAGTATAATCAATTCTTTATTCATCCTTGTTAGTTTTCCATACATTTATTTTAACATTATCATTTTAACCAAACTATGCCAACATAACAGCAACTTTTTCAGCGGTCGGATTTTATAAAATTATCTTTAAGCCTCCATAAAATATTTTCATACTCTTTCAAAACCAAATAAATCTAAACCATAATCCAGAAACTTATATTGTTAGGTATATTCTACGAAACAGAACATCATAAGAGAAAAAAATACTGCCCTAATTCAACCAACCGCGACATCGAGAGCAAACAGTCCCCACCAACAAAATTTTCTCAATAATCAAACCCCAATAATTCGAGCTATAACAGAACAAGCAGCCAAAAACCAAAGATAATACCCCGCATCCCATCACAAAGCTCAAATTCATTTACCTTGCAAGCAATCACAATTCTCAGCCTCCTTCCTCACCACATCTAGAACAGCATCGATGAGCTCAGCTCCCTCCGTGTAGTGTCCCTTAGCCCAGTTGTTACCCGCACCAGATTGCCCAAAGACAAAGTTGTCCGGCCGGAATATTTGCCCGTAGGGCCCAGATCTTAAGGAATCCATGGTGCCGGGCTCAAGGTCCATAAGCACCGCCCTGGGTACGTACCTCCCACCGCTGGCCTCGTTGTAGTATACATTGACCCGCTCAAGCTGGATATCGGAATCTCCACTATACTTTCCAGTGCGATCGATCCCGTGCTCGTCGCAGATCACCTCCCAGAACTTGGCCCCGATCTGATTTCCGCACTGCCCGCCCTGGATGTGGAGAATCTCTCTCATCTTCTTCCTCTTCTTCGTGAGAGATCCGGCAGCAGGGTTAGGTAGGCCGGCAGATGACTAGAGCGTAGAGAAGGGTTGAGGGAGATCTTGGAGAGGAATCGGGAGAAGTTTATAACTGGAAGGCAGGCTGGCGGTGAGCTGAAGGTTTGATGACCACTAATTTAAAGGTTTTTGACTTGGTCCTAGAGAAGGTCACCGTTAACCGGGTGGGAGTGTGATTTCGCGGGCTAGATGAGTTTCTAGCGTTAAGTCTTGTGTAATGTTGGATAGAGTGGTAATATTATCATAATTTCATTTATATTTATATATGATGTAATAACTTCTTTCATCATTATGAGTATATAGACTTGCTATATTTTAACTTCCATTAAAGATCCTAACAGCACCAAAATAAACACTTCAAAATTAAGTGAATAGCTTTGGGGTGAAGTGGCGTAGATATTATTGTTATTTAAATAGGATGTCACCTTCAAATTGAAGGGAAAAAAAATCTTTCTGCATGAGGGAAAAATTTTTTATCTGGACTGTGACGAAGCTTTTCGTGCGGAATTTAATAATATGTCGTCACGTGTGCTATATCTCAAAGATTATTTCAGATTATTTTGAGGTTATTGATTGAATCCGCGGATGTTATTGAAGAGAAACTCATATATTTCACTTCAACAGATGTTATTTCGGGGTTTTTCAAGAGAAACTCATATATTTCACTTCAATAATCTCGAAACGTCAAGGTTATTTCGGGGTTATTGAAGAGAAACTCATATATTTCATTTCAATAACCTCAGCGATGTTATTTAAGAATATTGAAGTGTATTATAAGAGTTTCTAATAATCCTAAAATATCCCCAAAAAACAACCATGATTTCAATTCAATAACCGCGAAATAAGCTTTGCAATGTAGACACATGTGACAGCATATTATTGAAGTATGCACATAGAACTACGACCGAAGTCCGGACATAAAATTTTTTCATGCATAAGGGGAGGATTATGAATGGAGATTAGAGGGAACCTAGAGGTCTATTAAGTCCTTGAACTCTGGCTAGATCATATCGTTTGAGCATAATTGCGTGTCCACCTTAGTACAATCATTGTCGCTCTTCCACCTTTGTTGGATTGTCATAGCCCGTCCATTATTGCTAGATCGAGTGTTTTTATATGTTCACTAATCCACCATTATTAGATTGTCATCGTCTGATTACTACCGCCGAATCACTTTTGTCGCTTAAATATAGTTGTCTGACCACCATCATTTGTGATGTTTGTAGATCATGGGAACTGGAGTCGGGAGCTGCACGAGCTATTGAACACATAGGTTGTAGATGGTTATATATGTCGTTGTGCGCGAGCAACGACGACGTTTCTAGGTCGCAAGGGGGTCGGAGTCATGAGTTGCACAAGCTGAGAACCACGTAAGTTGTACCTGGTTACATAAGTCATAGTTATGAGTAGTAGTGTACGTAGACTGCGGGTTCAGAGTTAAGAGCCATAAGAGCTGTGAACCATATGGACCATTATTGGCACATTGGTTGTAGTTGTGAGTTATGATAGCGTCTATAAGTCTCAACAATTGGATTAGGGAGCTACATGAGCGTGTGCAGGGTGGCTCCCTACACCATTTTCAAGATGCATTGTTACACTGTCTTTGGGGTGACATCTCGATGTTGGGGATGATGCGCTAATTTGCATGTTACTTCATGAATTCGTGATATCAGTTGTCGCTTTACAAAGTGCTTCGTTGGAAGGAGTGGGTGGCGACTGATGGTGATTAGCGGCGGCCAGTGAGTTATGGTTGGCGACAAACGACGACTGGTGGCCAACGGTGAAGTGATGCTGAACTTTATCTCATTCTACAAGCTTCAACTCTTCCTCAAGCTCCCTCCTTTCAAGAAGGGGTATGACTCTATCTATAGAATTCCAAATGCAATTAATGCAATAATATCAACATTTTTTACCGGAAGGTCTGAAAAGATTTCTTTAATCAAATAGTGTTTAATGAATATTTGAGGGCCTTAAAAATGCCTAAATCGAGCAAGCTTGGACTCGTTGGATTCGTCTTATTGAGACGCTCGACTCGACTACAAACACATCATATTTAACATTCATTTGAACTCCTAAATGTGTCCGTAAAACTTTTAAACATCATTTAATAGCTTGTTTAGAGCTTGATTTGATTTGAATTGAACTAATTTTGACATCATTGAGTCCGTCTCATTGAACTGGTTAATTTGACTGTAAGTTTGCTCAAATCAGAATTACGAATAATTTTTTATTGAGATTTAAATATTTTTTATTAAAAATATTATCTTACATGATTCATGCCGCATGATAAAAATTTATGAAAGACCTGTGCATCCCATAGATATTTTGTTGGCGAAATGCTGTGCCTCTAAGATAATTATGGTGGCAGTTTCTATCCATAGTGTCTCAGTTGGAAGTTGTTTCTTCTCTAACTTTCGAAATTTTCACTATTTCGGCGTTTCTTTATGTTGGATATTTATGATAGCTTTTTTATTATTTCTTCTCAATAGTATTTTCCTTCTTAGAATTTCTATTTCTGGTTTACATTTTCTTTTTCTCGGTGTTTTATGGTGGGTATATATATATATATATATATATCCCACACTCCCAATAATTGTCGATCACGAACCGTCTAATCCGATCAGACGGCCTCAAGTTCACCTGCCAAATCATGATATACCCTCCCGCAAAATTTTATGGCAGCGAAAATTGCGGAAAAACAAATTCTGAGACTGTACTCCACTGCGGAAAAACGACGCCACCTTTTTCTGCTTGTTCTTACCCTTCTTCTGCTCCTCCAAGCACCCCTACATTTCTTCACGCAGCTTTTACGGATCTCCAACGTCTCCTCCTTCCGATCACAAAACCGAGGGCATGAGGATGTGAATCGGCTTCTCCTTGTTGTACGCAGAGCTGCAGCAGTCTTCCACGTCTTCCTATCCAAATCACCCTGAAGAAAATTCACCGTCTCTCATATACGTTTCGGGATGGCTCTCCTCCGATCATATGTAAACAACTATCTCTTATATTTTGCACGATCATTCTTCGTTCATCGGTTTGTGATATTTCTTCGGCAGGGATCGCAAAAGCTTCGTAGGGTTTTGTTCTGTTTTGTGGTGGTGGTGCTGCAATTCGTGTTATTCGGCCGGTTTTTGGATTGATTCGGTATTATTTAATACGCTTAATTGCGTTGTGTGATTTTTGTTATAGCTTTATAGTTTTTTTTTTGGTCTAATCTGACTTGTTCAGCGCTGATTTTTTTGTGATGGAGCTTGGATTTTTTTTTCTTTTGTTTTTGGCGTTTTCAGAATCACCGACTGGCATATTTCATGTGGCTGACTTTTTATTTTCCTGGTTTCTGAATGACGTGATATGGCTGCCGCGGTGCCATGTGGGCTAATTTTAAGGAAAGCTAATGAAGATTGTTTCTCGTTCAATAATTCTTTAGAACTAGTTTTTCGCGCTGGTGATTAAAGTGTTTTATGAGCTATTCCAATAGTAATCCCCGTGATTCGCCTGTTTGGTTGAAAATATAATTTAGTAAATCTTTATGTGAGAAATCCTATTAAAGTGAAATTTATTATAATTTAATAAATGCTGATGATACTCGTCAATTCTTAAATCCAACCAAATCTCTGGACTGTTTGGTTGTTGATTTAAAGAAGGGAAATTTATGTACATACCCCACAATTCTTATGCATTTGCATATCTAGCACTTAAAGTTTGATATTTATTATTATAACTCTTTATTGTCATAATCACACTAAAACCTTTGTTTGAAAAGGTGTATTTCAAGTTAAGAGATGGGACTAAGGAATTTTCATGTTGGCATATACAAAAGGGTATGCTCACTGTACGAGGATTCTGCTAAAGGGAGGTTTGATGTGTGGTGTATTTAGCCTCTCCACGCATTGCAGAGATGATTCATGCAATCACTATAATAGTCCCCTATTTTGTGGTTTTTATGAAGCTATTTTGAAGATTCTTCAATCTTGTCAAAGGTTGATTGTTAATTTTGAAGGTGGTATTTTGTGTGTGTGCGTGTGTGTGTGTGTTTTTTTTTGTTCTAAAACAAAGAGAATTGGAGGATTTATAAAGCAGATTCCTAATAGCTAGGATATAGCTATTGATAAAGATTGTGATGATTTCCTACTGAATGTATACTGTTTCTATTTTTACCAACGTTAATAGTGGGGTATTGCATTTCATTTAATGACATGTACGTCTGTTTGATGTGGAATTTTGTATTCGATCTGTATATAGTGCCGATATGTCGTGTTCTTTGGGTTTTGAGATTTTATGAGCTGCGTAGTGGGATTGATATTGTCATGAGCTTTCGCTTTTTACTCATTTTGATTCCAATTTTTAATACATGTTTGTACTGCTTATAGTGCCTTATTTCTGACCATTTTATTGCTCATTTTTCTTGATTATGCTAGTATGTTGTGTTTGATTTGCTTCCAATTGAATATCTGATGTTGGTTTTTTTTAATGATTGCAATGCCATTTGTACTTGCTTTATTTTAATTTTAGAAGTTCTTATCCTCCTCCTTGTTATCATCATATCTGCCTTCTTCTTAGTTCCTTAGTGCCGATCCTCTAATTTTGTGGTGGTCTTCTTCTCACTAATTCTTTTATCTTCATACTTTGCTGATTTTTCAGTAGCCATTTTACGAGCAGATTCCATGATAAAGCATAATTTCATTGCTTGTGTGTTTCTTATAGAAGTTATTATACTCCTACTCGGGTTGGTTATTAATCTCGCAGTTTCTTTTCGTGTCATATATTTATATATTATCTTTTTATTTATTTTTGGATGATTTTATAGGGGTTAGAATGTTGGGTTGGTTGTTTTAAGCTTGTCTTTCCATGTTTTGGTTGTTGAGTTAAGCTTCTTTCTATATATTTAGTTTGTTTGTTATTTATGTATTTTGTGTGATTTTGTAGTAGGGATGGAATTGTTGGTCTTTCTTACTTCTCATTTTGTAGCACACCAGTTTGGTTGATCTTTGCCCAGTTATCTTCAAGGACATTGATCCTTTTCCATATGCATAGTTTGTTTGATTCTTCATATCGAACATTCATTTTAGGCAATTGGATGAAGTGAAAAGTGATTCTTGATTATTAGTTCTGACTTGTTTCTGATTGAGCTACTGGAGATGAGATAATAGGTATACTCTTCTCGGTCATGCGTCACAATGATCCCGTCTCTTACTCTATGATGAGTATGCATCTTAGATTTTCACAAAGATTTGGAATAAGAAGGATAAAGATATTTATTTGAACACCATTTGTTAACCAATCTTATTGAAGTTTTGTTCGGAACATTGAAACCATTCCAGTTGCATCTAATATTTAGTTCTCCATTAAATTCCTTCAAATCCTCGCATCACTCGAGGAATTAAACTAAATGAAAAGGGGAGAAATGTTAAATAATTTTTTATATTTACCTTTATTTTTACTTAATATTTCTATAATTTTAAACTTAGCATATAATGTGCTTCATTTATTAATTTTCTCTCCTGTTATTGATAATGCTTTTACATAGAAGGTATGTAGTTTACAGGTTTTGAATACTTTGTCTCACATACCACTGTTCTTGAAGGAATATGTTAAGCGACATCAGGAGGATATTTCTCCCGAGTTATGCCATTTCTCTCAGTTTTACTTGTGTTTTTCTTTATCTGTTGCTTTTTTGCTTATGCATTTTATCTTTGGATTTTGGTAGTGCTTTCCTATGGTTTTTTGCAATATACATTCAACCTTTGTTTAAGGCTTTAATTGGTTCGGGTCACATTTATTTTCATACGGTTTAGAGTTCGTTGTTTTCTTAAATTCAGCTAGTAGCTTTAAAGAATAAGCTGATCGAAATGTGTGTTTGGTTCTAAAGTTCTTGCACATTCTAAATTGATTTTGGTAATTTATGTCAATGAAATGAATTGGAAAAGAGGCAACAACATTCTCTTTTATATAAAGTGCTTTTATGTTGACTTGAACATTTTATTTTCTTCATAAAGGTTTAAGTGGCTTAAAATAGTTTAATGAGAAACAATCATGAAACATTTATTTTGACGTAAGCAGTGATTTTTATCTTTAAGCGTATGGAAGGACCTGAAGGAGCGAAATCTATTAAGAATGTTTGACTTTTAGTACCTTTACTTCACTAAGTTTGATGTTTTATCACTGGCCGGGTGTTCTCTTTTATAATTGGGTAAATCTTTTTTGGGCAATCGTATGATATCTAAGTTTGCTTTACAGAAATATAATTATTAAGCCATTTCAGCTGTTTAGCTCGAGATTTGAATTAGTTGGGTAATGTTTGAAGTGACGGATGATGATCAAGCTGGGGAAAGTGATGATCTAATTTAAAGAGTATTTTTTGACATACCACAAAAAGTAATGCACTTAACAATCCACAGCTCAATTTCTTAAAAACACTGATTTCTAGCTGTTAATACATCATTTGGTAATTGGCTTTAACCATATACGATTAATCAACTCTATTATTCAACCTTTACTTGTTCAAATATTTTAATATCCTAATTGTTTATCCATTCTATCAAATGCACAAACTCATCAACTTATTCTTCTCATGTCATCCCAGGCTACTGGCATTATCGCATCTGTCATCTCTTGGTTCTTTGGAGTGAAAAGTGATTTTTTTGATCCTATATTGTTATAGCTAACAATTGCATTTTTTTTGTTTATGTAACATCAATATATTTTCAATTGTGTATTTTCTCATGAGGAAATACCAACATAAATAAAAAAATGATATTGTGTCATCAAAAGAGAACATATGAAAATTTGCTTATCAATTTTAGTAGTCGATCGAATATATTGGTATTTTTAGGGGTGTCAAAATTGGGTTGTGGATTGTGTTCGGGTTTGACCTGTAATTGATCTGACCCGGAATTGTTTGACCTCGACTCAACCCGTCTTCAACCCGACCCTGTCGGCCGTTATTTTAATTTTGAAAAGAAAAGAATGATTTTAATAAATATAAAAAAATAGTTTTGATGTAAATATGATTTTTGAAAGTAATATTTTAATTTAAAAATAGATGAGACCAAGCAAGTCTCACATTTTGGATAGTTTGGATGACTAAGCACGATACCACAAGTATTACACTTAGCCCGAAGAATAAAAACATCACTTGTAGTAGGCTCAATCACCTAAACTGAAGAATTTGTGACATCCGTTTGGTCTGCGAAATATTTTATATGAGGTCAAAAAATTTCCCTACCTAATATGAGAATTAGATAGGGTTTATTTTACCTGAGTTTCAAGTTCCCTATAGTGACAAATCCCTATAGTTAATTACATCTTAAATGACCGGGGTCACTTAAGAAAACTCTCGATTAAGATCAGTGGTTCTGCCTTCAAGATTTCAAAGTTTAGGAAAATTAAATGGGAGTGGCTCAAACATGAACAGTTATTTTAAGGAATCCAAATGAATAAAGAGTATGGAAGATCACAGATCCAGGGGAAACCCTGGTGACTTCCCAATTATTCTATTGTTTGGCTTGATATCTTTGAAATAATGTTGTTTAATGTTTAATCCCTGCAATTTATTTAGAATTTAGAACTTATGTTCGCACGATATCTGACCGTGCAAATAGCCTGAAATACAAATGACCTAAAAAGATACCTAAAAAGATAGGAGGATTTACACCGTATCGTACATCAATCTTGGAATCTTAAAGTGTTAGGACATATAATTGCACAACAGAGTTGTGCAAAAACCTAAAGGTAATATGAAGGTTTACGCTGCGCTAGTCAAACCACCTCGGAATCCTATGAGTTGTTATTTAAACTAAGGAAAGTGAGTAGTGATGTGAATGTGTTGTGATGTTGCGGATCCATCTTGAAGTGGTTCCTCAATATGTCATCGTCATGCTGCCCACGGTGTTCGTTCCGATATTCTCGTCATAACATCTTCGGGTTTGGTATTAGTTTTAAGGGTACATGTAATCACTAGGTTTTCTACACTAAGGTATAATGTATG